TGATGAAGTGATTCTTTAGCTATTTCTTTTAAGTAAGGGTTATATTTTATTTTTTCTTTTTCTCTTTACTAGATGCTAGGTCACTCTGGTCCATCAGACAATAACTTCTGACAGATGTTCTGAATTAACTGGCAACTTGAAGGGGCTTTTGGCTCATGTGAATGTTTCTGCTTGTCCCTCTGCAATGGTTGTACAGCTCAACAGCAATTCCCTGTGATGTGATGGGCTGCTTTTGTCTTCTTTAGTCACCAGGTAGCAGCTGGATTGCACAAAATCAGCAGGTTTTCGTTTTTACAGTCTGCTCTTTGTCTTTCTACAGCCCTCCCATCTTTTCTTCCAGTTCTCCTGTAAGCACCATGTCATAGGCTGTAGTAATTAGACAGATGTAGCAGCTCCAGAGCAATTTCCCTGCAAGCTCTGTCCTACAGGAGAAGGGCTGTTGGGTTGTATAAGCACTGCTGGTGGTATGAGAGGACTTACCCCACCCTTTCAGTAAGACTACACTCAGCAGTACTCTGCTGGTTTATTTTACTATTGGGTTTTGTTGTGTTTTTGTTGTTTGGGTTTTTTCTGATTTTTTTTTCCCCTTCCAGAGGGTCTGTAAGGCTTATAATGACAACAGACCATGATTTAGCCTTGTCCCAGTTGAGTCCATTTGAGGAGGGAGGAACTGGAGCCTTTACTTGGGGATGTGGAACTCCCTCCTCTGGCCCATTAAAGCAAATTCAATTCCTCTTGCTGGAACTCTTCCCTGATTTGTTATTACAAATGAGATGTTCCTCAGAGCTACAGCAAGGGATTTGTAGCAGTAATAAGGCTAAATTAAATTTCCTGGGGTTCAATCTCAAACAATTGATAAGGTGGGTTGTTGAGGAGCCATTCAAAGGTCCTAAGCTATAACCAGATTTATTACCTCTGCTGCACTCACAGCAGCTCAGGAATTACACTTTGTATAGTCTGTTGTGCATTAGCATGAGAGCACAGATTGCTGAGACTGGAACATTTGTGTTGTGATTTGCCTTCCAAAAAAAAACCCCAATAGTGAATGGTGAATGCATTAAAAATGGGGAGGAAAAGCTTGTTCTTACACTGCAGTCACAAATATGTATTTCAGGAAACACATGGGAAATTGGGGGAAAAAAATACATGTCCTGGGTGTAGGAAGCCTGTAAAATAATCTGAGGACAGGGCTTACAGTGACAACAGAGGCAAGCTGGTGAAATTCTACAGTGGCTTGGAGAAGTCTTGGGGCAGAGGAACTGCACACAGAGACACATTGTACTTGTTTGTATTTTGGGTAGAAAAAAACCATTTTGTTTGTATTTTGGGTGGGTTGCTAGGGTGTGGGTGTGGATGAAATGGGGAATTCATCCACACCCACATGTGAATCCAGCTGTCCCATATGTGAGAAGAAAGGAGCACAATGGTGAGCAGTGGGTTTCTTCTTCTTAAAAAAAGAAAATAAAATCAGTTAGGCCTGAAGCTGTTGAAGGTTCATTGAGGACTCCTCCATCAAATATCTCTTGGTGCACAGCTACTATCATGTCCTGTAGTATCTGATGAATCTAGAATCTGTTATTTAGCACTGGGGCTTCCTACGTTAACAAGGAGCCTTTGAAAACCAGCCTGGAGTTAAAGAACTGAATTTTAGGCACATAAATGTGTGCCAATAGTATCAACAACAGCAACACCCACCCCTAACTTATTGCATGTGTTTTGAAAGTGAACTGAAGATAGCACATGTTGGAAATCAGGAGATGACAAATGTTTTGGCCTGTGTTCTGTAATGGAGTTGTACATGAAGCACTTCTGGGTGTCAGCAGCAGCTACCCTGGGGCACTTGTGTTAATTTGAACACTTGAAGACTTCACAAGTGTCTTGAACTTTAAAGGCTAATTACAAAGCATGACTGAGGTCAGATTACAGCCTGATTGGGAGCCAAAACTAGTCCATAATTTGTCTAGTATCAGGTTGTGCAGATGTGCAAAGTTCACCTTTCCTTTTCCTGTCAGTGTTGCTGCCCTCTCTCTCAGACTCTCCTACTCCACTTCTAGGTGGGAGTCTCTCAACAGCTACTCCTTATCACACTTGGGCAGGACAGTCTTGAAAGGTGCCTCTTGACTCCAGCCAAACCCCTTGGCTTGCTCTGGTATCTGCCTCTATGACACTGGGACCAGAATGAATTGACTATTCATGCAAAAATGTTTCCTGAGCACTGAATTTTTTGATTGGGTGTTAGATAGGAAAACACCATTAAAGTCAGTGTTAGGTGCTTATTATATTCAATTCTCAAAAAATACAACAAGGTAGTTATTTTTTCCATATGTAAGTAAACACACAAATACTGAGCCTGAGAAAACAGTTAGAGGTGTAGAAATTCCTGGGACAGGTAGTCGTGCATGATGTCCCTCACTCGTGTAGGTTTGGTAACTGTTTCTTCTCTTGTATGAGATGAGCTGTCTTCACAACTGCCTGGGATTGAGTGGCAAACCTTGTGTTGTGTGTGGTGATGCTTTGTCTTGCTTCTTCTGTGGTTTTGCACTGTGCTCCTGCAAAAAACCAGTCCCAGGCTGAGGACTGGATGAGAGGCGAGGTAGTAGTTTGAGAGAAGTCTGCCAGCTCTTTGGGCAGGCTGCTATGGAGAAGACCAGGGAGCTACAGAGAAGCCAACAGGCCAAAGAAGCACAAATATTCCCAGTCAGCCATCATGTTGTGTAGAGCTGAGGCACAACTCTTCTACCTCTTTTTGGGGGACAACAGGTGAGGACTCTGAGAGTCTGCAGCCCCTCTGGCTGTGATGAGAACACACACTGGTGATGCTCACAGGCATCTCCTGGGAGAACAGAAAATGGCTCCATCTTGGTGCACTCTTCTGAAAAACCTTTTCAGAGGCTACCTGACAACATGCCTAATCCTATAGCATGGTCCAAACTGATGCAGGAGACAGCCCCTCCTAACTAGCCAGGCTAACTTGTTCCCTCTGTATTCATGTTCTTGTCAATTTGCTCATAGTTACCCTACTGAAGATAGCCAGCAGAAAATGGTCCATACCTTGATGTGACAGCAGTGACCCAAGTGAGGAAACACAGTTTCACCTTACAGGATGAGTTAGGGGTTTCTGACTGTGCTGCTGCTGGATTTTATTTTGATGGCTACTGTTTAGCAAACTGATCCCACACTTCTTCTTTTAGAGATGCAGTTTTACTCACAACTGCTCATTGGCATCCTGCTCCTTGCCTGCATTGCCTTCTATAACTAACTTTGACACCATGATTTTTGTTATTCACAATTATCTGCAGCCAGTGGAAGTTTTATGCTGACAGGCAAAGATGATATGCTGATATTAAGAATTCCAGGACAGCTGAAACTTGAAATGGTATCTCCCTTGCTGTGAAGTCTTTCTTCATACTGAACTATTAAAATGCTAAACGTATCAGGATATTTTCTCAATGTAAGCAATTTGTCAGAAACTATTCATGCACTACCATGTTCAGGCAAAAATTATGCTCAGTAGTGGTATTTGAAAATAGTATCTCACTGGATACATCTACTTGATTTGCATTTCTCTTGGTTACCTACTAAATATCACATTTACATTTGGATGTGGAGCTGGAGTTAAAAAGGGATCAACACATGCAGTGTCATGCAAGCAGCACTGTTGTCTTCAAGAAGACCATGCAGGCTTTCCCCAACAACCTTCTACTCTGCTCTCTTCACACCTAGGCAAATCCAGGCATGGAAATCCTCCGTCACACACATCAGCAAGGGCAACACTTGGTTCTTATTACAAGAAATCCTGAACCAGAAAGAAAGAACCCAGCCTGGAGCTCAGACTCTGGAGTACAAGACTTGCAGTTACAAAAAGTATGTCTGAAAACAAATTTTCAGTAGCAGCTGTACTCATGAGCCAGACAGCATTTGAGGCCTCACAATGTTAAAATCAAAGAATGGGTGCTATCAAACCAGAAACTGATGTCATTTACAGTGTCTGTCCAGGCCAGTGTCACCTTCTCTCCTCAGGGGCACACATGTCAGCACACTGGGCAGTTGGGGAGTGAATTGTATTGCAGGAAAACTTTCTATAGTATGCCAAGAGTACCTAGCTGAGGTCCTGAAACACGAGGGATTTTTATCCCTTCTGTGTTAGTTAACTAGATTCTTCTCCCAATCTCTGTAAATATTTTTTTAAGTCTCCAAGGATAATTGGGCTAGAAGGCTCCACAGGCTATTTGCTCACTGCACTGTATTTAATGTGTGCTGCTTTCTCTTTTTTCCTCTGTAGTCTGAATGTTCTTGTGTCTTCTGAAAGAACAGACAGGAGGTTTCAGTTCAGTTCCTCACACATTTTGCTTCTTTAGATATATTTTATGGCATTCTCTCCCACTTCTTTCCTCTCCAAGATAAACATTCCCAGCATTTCCAGCCTCCGCTTACCCCCAGCTTATCACCTGTTACAGCCTTTTTAGGCTCCATATTTGGCTCACTTTTGTGCTGTCCATTATTTTTCAGGCATACTTAACCAAATTCAAGTGGTGCCAAGTCCCTCAGCAGAACCCCTGTTAGGACCCAGCCCAGTCCTAACACACAAATCTTCATATCTTTGTATTTAATACCTTTTTAGTAGAAAGGGTTATACTTGTATGTTCCAGCAAAGAGGTGTATCCTGGGGTGAAGAACAGCCTTATAAAGCCATGCCTTCACAGAGACAAAGGACAAGCATGTGTCACACCAGTGCCCATGCCATGAAGTACACTGAGCCAGCTCCAAGGCTTAGAATCACATAAGGATAAACTTCTTTTCCCAGACTATGCCCTTAATAAAAGACTGTGTGGAAGCAACATAATCTACAGAGGAAATAAAACTTGTTACAGTTTTATTTTTAATCATCACTAAGATACATTTACTGAGCACTGCATGACTCCTTCCTTACAGAGGAGTGGCCTTTTAGATCTTTGTCCCCTTTAACTATGTGCTGAAGTAGCTTCTTCCAGCTGGTGTGCTTATTCTGTAACTTCTCTGTTAAAGGGGGTTGTGAAGTTTTCTGAGTGGCCACCAAGAGCAAAGCGTTCACGGAGCAGTTCTTGCTTTCTTACTAACTCCTCCGTTGCAGCTTCAGGGGCCCAAATCTACAAAATAAAGGTATTTGTAGTTAATTTGGACATGACTTCTGCAACTGAAACATTAAGAAGATACTGTTAGCCAAACAGAGCCATGTTCCAGCATTCCTTTCCATCCTGAGACAAAGAAAACTAGCACAGCCTCCCAGTGGAAGATACCACAACAATTTGTGTGTGTACAAGCAGAGAGTTCTCTTGTTGTCCCTTCCATTTTATAACGTGCTGTGGGCTCAGATTATGTGGGAAAGAAGATCCAAAACTAATTGTTTAGAATGACTGGCTCAAGATCATCAGAGTGGAAAATAGTAATTAGCTGTAGAGGCACTGGCATGTAGCCTTATTCCCCTGAGATCACTGCAGACACTAGCACAAACCAGGGTTAGGGAACTGGGAAAGAAACTTCCAAAGTAAATTCTCTCTCAGCAGTGGTATTCTTTCCCTTTTCAAGGAGAGGATAAAAACCCAAAACTAAATGAATTCTCCATGATCATCTTTTTCTGTTTGTCAGTTATTTGTGAATGGGTATTAACAAGGCCCTGGCACAAAAGTTACATGTCCAGTTTTCTAACTCTGGGAAGTAAGTACTGTGATCCACTTAGTTCAGTAACTGTCACTCACATAAGCAATCACATGACAACCAGTTGCAAGTTAGAAACTGGTGCTGGTCACATGCAGAAGGATTCCTATCCTATGTAAAACTCCATACCATGAACGTTGTTGCATCTGTGTTTTACTGAGAGTCCACTTTCATCCTGTTTGAAAACCTGGTAAGTGCTTCATTTCCATGATGATTTGTTTCTATAAAGATATGTGTATGTATATACACAAATTAGACATGAACTCTTTAGTTTACTGCTGCTTTGTGGCAATCTCTCTAGCCTGTGTCACTTCATAGAATGGTTCAGGTTGGAAAGGACCTTTAAAGGTCATCTAGTCCAACTGCCCTGCAGTGAGCAGGGACATCTGCAACTAGATCAAGTTGCTCAGAGTTGAATTGTGAAGTCATTTCATCAGATTGTTCTGTTTTCTGATCTACAGCAAGGTCTACCTTTACATTAACACAGAACTGTGCTCATGTTTTCCTACTGGACTTACTTTTCTGGGTTTGAATGTGATGTTTTCTTTCTTGGTAGCCCCGCTGGTGATCAAAGAGTGCAGGTAAATAACACTGTCCTTGAGAGGACGTGTTGTCTTCCTGAGAATGGGTGTTTCTACAAGTGGCAGAGAGGCCTGCAAAGGCTGAAAGAGAAGGAATCACCAGTTATACAAATACATTGCATTCGGATGCAAGGCACCACATCCTGCAGCTTCCTGAGACTTCCTTTGCCATCTATTTACTCTGAGTGTATTTTTCTTAATCCATTCAGCACCTGTTTTTCTTAAGAGCTGATTTTTTTTTTTATTTCTTACAAAAAGTTGTGAGGGGAAACCTTTAAAAGGTAGAGGATGACTCTCCTTGGACACTAGAACATTAACTGCTCCTTAAGGCTCATAAGACAGTCATCTAGTATCACTGGTGATCCCATCCTGTGCCAGGTGATGAATAAATAAGTACCTGAGGTTGTCATCCTCCTGCCTATGAACAGCCTGGACTAGCCCTGATAAATTCAAAATATTTTTGAAAGGGGGAAACCAATGGTTTGAAATGGTTACTGGGACGTATTTACTACACCATCCAGGAGAGGGCTGCTGAAGGACACTTCCCACAGTGCAGATACACTTGTGTTTTCTCTCTAAATAGTGTCCCAGGCCTGACTAACAAGTACCACTGGTAAATTGGGAATATCTGATCCCCAGTAAGGGAATGAGGATGTGGTCATGGTGGCTGATGTCAGCTTGGGAGCCAGGGCAATGGTAAGGTACTCAAGGCTCTTGAGGTGCAGGAAAGGCATTCAGAAGTACAATGGCCAAACATCAGTGTGGGATTTGAGAAACTGGACTTGAGTCAACAGTAGAAGAGGAAGGACATGACAGAAGATGGGAAATGAGAAGTCAGCAAGCCTGTTATCACCTCAGTGAGTTTCATTAGCAGAATAAAAAGACCTTTCTACTAATCTGAAGGACCTTGGTTTTACCCTGTGAAGAAACAGGTGCTGCCCTTAAGAAATTACAGTTACCAGTTGTTCAGTATCTACCACGACAGAGTTGGATGATCATAAACTTCAGGAGGAGGGGGAAAAGAAGAGGAAATATTTTTCTGTGCCCTGTCAGTGATATAGGATGTAATAGTTAAGTGGGACTTGGGAAGACATAAGTTCATATAATTAAGAAGTCAAAATTTCAACCAAAGAACAAGTACTAGTACTGGCAAGAGGAAGTACTGGCTTCTGAAAATACTCACTTAACAAAACTGCCTGATTTATAGCTTTAGGGAGACATAGATAGCAAATAAATGACAGAAAGACACAGTCTATTAGCAAATCAATCCTTTGTTACCATCCCTCATACCCTTTGTTTCACAGCTTGTACCTCTACAGGCATCAGCATAGAAGGTGACTTTGACTTCTCAACTTTTTCTGCTTCTTTTTCTTCTGGTACTTCTGGCAAATTTTCCAGTTCACTCCGGAGAAGATCAATTACTCTAGAATCTGCAAAGACTTCAGCAATATCAAGAGCATTCTGCCCTGTATTTAAAAAAACAAAATATAAATGCCTATATAGCTATGAAAATTAACTTGGAAGTTGTTATTGCAACTGGATAATGACACTACAGTCAACTGAATTTCATTAGGCATCTATTTTCTTCACCATTTGGTGTGCCAGCAGCGTGCCTGACGTTGGCATGAGGACTGGCAGTCATCACCACTGCTTGCAGAAACAAGGCCTTGCAAAAACCAGCCTTGAACCAAATACTGCAGTGAATTCTTGGAGTGGTTGCTTTGCTCTTAAAGTCCTGACACTTGCAGTTTAAGATACTAGCTCTGTGGGTTGTAGTTTTGATCTTTGGGAGCTGAGAGCATTTAGCAGTAGGGGATGGCTGGTACAGAACAAGGATGGGCATGTACACCACGTCACTGTAGGTACCTACACTTTCCAGTGCTTACTCTGTGGCTGGCAAGGAGTCAAGGGAAAGCTCCATGGTTTAAATTGTATCATAGAATGGTTTGGACTGGAAGGGACCTTAATGTCCTTAGCCTTAAAGGGATCATCTAGTTCCACCCCCTCAGCCAAATAATGCTAAACACCTTCAGTGCCTAAGACAGGAAAAACTCTCCTGGACCCCATGAGACCTTGTGGCTGTAACGTGGTTGTGAGATGAAACTGCCATGTGAATTGGCACTACCCATGGTAACAGGAAAGGAATTCACATCCCTTCTACAAGCAGGGTTTCACCTGCCAGACGTTTTGGGAAGGAAGGTCTCATTACACAGAAGTGTTGCTTCCCATGTTAGAGCAAGGGCTTAAAATGTGCTAAATGTTAACTGTTCACATGACTCTGAATGTAGAGGAAATAATACTGAATGGGGGTCTGCTGTGAGGAGGTAACACTTCAGTATTGGTTCAGATTGGGTTTTCTATTAAATCACCTTTTTTTTTCCTTAGAGAATAATAATTACCTGCTAAGCAGCAAGAAATTTTTTCAACCAGTGCTGCCTGTGCATAAAAATAAGTGATTTAAAGGGGTGGCAGAATACACACTGGCCACAACTATAATTTTCCATCAAATAATATTAATAACTAGATAGAATTTTTTTCATTAAAGACACTTATAACTGTATATATCTTGTGAGGAGCAACAGCCTCCTTAATCATGGAGTTAATTATGTTACTTTATTTTCTAGATGCATAAAACCCAGGAAAGCTGACTACTTACACCAGTGATTCCACTCTGTAGAAAACTAATTGAACCTCTTACCTTCATCTTGATGGTGATAGCAATCATAAATTCAGAACACTTCTCAAAGTCTTCCAAAAACTTAGGGTTTTTTTTCAATAACACATGTGTACACATAAGGAGACAGGCCTTGTGGGGGGATACTGATATTTACCACTCCTGTTTGTCATCTGGATGTCAGCACCCACGCTGATTAAAAAATAGACTATATCTGGCCTGCAGATCTCAACAGCTCTCATCAGTGGGGTTGCATTGCCCATGGCAGGGGCATCCACTGCTGCTCCAGCCTTCACCATCAGCTCAGCAACATCCAGGTGGCCGTTATAGCAGGCGTGGTGGAGGGGAGTCCACAGGAAATTGTCTGTTCTGTTCACATCAGCCCTGCAAAAGAGTCAGAGGGGTTGTGGCAGAGCCAGTCACACCCACAGTTCCAGGTACAATGAACCTTAGTTGCCTGCTTGCAAGGACATACTCAGTGTAAATAAGTATTTATTTTCACACTGCTACTGCTACTCTAAAGCCATTTTAGTACCTGATACACAGCTTGGCATGGAATATTAACTGTAAGAGCGTGCCTAGGTGCTGATCATATCTCTCATGGAGACCTCACCCACACAGTGACTTCCATGTAGACTGTAGGTAGAATGAGAAGAAACAGCCTAAAGTTGCCTCCAGGGAAGGTTTAGGGTGGATGTCAGGAAAAATTCCTTCCCTGGAAGAGACTCTCAAGCCCTGGACCAGGCTGCCCAGGGAAGGGGTGGAGTCCCCATTCCTGGATGGATTTAAAAGCCCTGTAGATGTGGTGCTGAGGGACATGGTTTAGTGATGGCCTTGGCAGTGCTGGGTCAACGGTTGGACTCGATGATATTAAAGGTCTTTCCCAACCTCTGTGGTTTTATTAAGGTTTTCACAGATACAGAGAAAAATGGGTATTCAAATATCTTAGTCCTCTAAAATGCTGCTGGTGTTTGCACTCCTGCTTCACTGATCGTGGCAAAAAACAGATTAAGGAACTGAAAAAAAAATGATTCTGAGCCAAGAAGAGGGGCTCTAGAACACATGGCAAAGTTTACAAATGGGTTAGAGAAGGTCTACCTCAGAAGATTTGAGGATTTAAAACCTTTCCAGCCACCGTGCCACTGGACTAGTTCTGTTTCTGTTTCCAGATTAAAATTGGTATGTTCCTGGAAGATGCAAGGGCTTGGCTGGGGGAGAAGTTTGCAATATGCTGCCTTTGGATGCAGCTGAGGGGAAAAGTATTATCAGCCCTTTAGCCTTGGGAGCTTTAGGGCTTGGGTCATGCAAAAGCCAGGCTTGGGGAACAAGAGCCACCAGAGCCCCTTAATGGTGCTAAAAGGGAAGAAATATGGTTCCCTCCTGTCTTTGAAGAAAGCACAGTCCATGAGCACAGATCTGTTTCCTTCACATGTGCCATGCAGGGGTTCAGGAGGAGTCAAAACCTCATGAGTGAATTCCCCAATACTCAAGCTGAGTGAACTACTTTGCATGGTGCTTAACACAGCCTAGAGGTCCTGAAATGAGCTGGGGTCACTGTCCCATTTAGTCTAGGGACAAAGAGCTTGATGTCTTCCCAAAAGACATGGAGGGAGGGAGAAAGAAGAAAAGTTATGAAGGCAGCTGCTTCAAGGCAAAGCTTTTTGCTCTTTGGGTCAGATTTTTAATATTTAACTCTAGATCGAAAGAACAGATTAATCTCTTTTCTTGTTGAAATTTTTAATCTTTTTTTTTTTCAGAATTCTAACTTCAAATGGTACCTTACCCCAGGAAATTCCCTCCAATCTTCCTGTTTTACCTTGATTATCTTTCTGTTGCTTAGTTGTTACGGTTAATGCATACGCAGTTTTCATTTTCTTTATATTTTTCCTTAAAACAAGCAGTTGAAGTTACTCCACTTTCTTTCTTCCCCAACCTCTGTGCCTGTACTGATACTCTGTCTGCCCCTGAATCCCTCTTGCCAACTTCATTCTATCAGAAACAAACCCATCGAAGGGAACAGGGACAACCCATCCCTAACTTAAAAATTCTTCACCATTTTCTCCTGATCAGGCATTAAATTTGCCTTCAGCCTGAATTTCATTTACTTCTGAGTCTTTCTAGAACAAAACAAAAAGTAGATACCACCAATTTGTGTTTAAACCTCAGCATTTTCTATAGCTCTGGATGGATGCTTTGTTTTCTATTTAATATGGATTCATGATATCATCCTGAGAAGGTGATATTGTAAAAAGTATTTGAACTCCCATGCCAAACAGAAAGTGTCTGAAAGGCCAAAACTAAACACTGTACTGATACCTTTCCTCCCCATTTTCATTTCATTCTTTTTCCTTTTTTTTTTTCCATTTTGATAATTCTGTCAATTAAAAAATCTCAGACTTGCTACTGTTTTTTTGAACTGAGTTAATAAATTTCTAGGTCTTAAATATGATGAGCCAGGACTCCAGGGCTTGATGAAAGCAGCAGAGATTAAGTTGCTAACTCTCACATCCTTATCTCTGGAAGACCTGAATATACACATTTGCACAACTTCCCACACGCTCCCGGAATGCCAGTGTAATTACCAGGGTGTGTAAAGATCCACGTGCTGTTAAGCCTTTGCAGGAACTGGAGCCACTTATCCTGAGAAATGAATGTTAAAATGAATTCTAGCTATAGGTAGAGAACAAAGCGAATGTAAATGTCCTTGGAAAATGTTCATTTAAGCGTTTATGTGAATGACTGTGGGACTACAGCAGTCTGACAAGAAAAAAGAAGAGATTATGCTATTACACAAGTATGACTGCATCTTAAATTGCTTTCAATTTTAAGCTGTCATTGAGATTTTTCACAAGTGTGTCTGTAGGCTACAAAATTTCCGAAGCACTTCTGAAGTGAGGAACAGACTAAATAGCAGCACGTGCTTCTGGTGTAAATCCTGCTGCCTCAGCCTGCTGAGCCTGCAGAGGAAAGTGATTATAAGGCTTAGCTCCTTAAAATATTTGCCTGCAAAGTCCCTGGCACGTGAAACAAAAGTCAAGGATTGCCTTGATGATTTCAGGCAAGTCACTTGAGCCAGATTTCCCCAAAATCTTTTATCTGATCTTGAGAATGCAGTTTTGTGAGTATTTGAGATGTGGCTATGAACTAATTGGAGTTCTAATAGACTGGGTTTGTAAGCACTCTGCATCTGGCCAAAATGTCAACAGTCCAGGCATCAAACATTTCAGACCCTGGAAACTTAACTTCTGGGTGTTTCTATTTCCCTGCTACCAAAACATGAAGAGTAATAAACTAACCCTCTGTACTTCAGGCACTAGCCACTATGTGAATAAAAAAACCAAACTATAGTTTGTTGCATCCAAATGTTTACTGAAAATCTATGCTTTTGAAAGCCCTTCTAAAATACCAATTTAAAAAAATAAAAGAAAATCCCTGAAATGCTCTTACCCCTTCTCCAGAAGATACTGCACAACATCTATGTTCCCACTTGCACACGCAGCCATCAAAGGTGTTTTGTAATATTTATCTTCTACGTCTACTGGCACACCCTCCTCAAAAGCTTTCTGCAGAGACAGGATGTCTCCTTCTCTGACAAGGTAGTTAATGTTCATGTACACTTTCCTTGGCTCCTCTATATACCAGGCACGGTCATCGTGCACAGGGTGGGCAGATGGGTGGGCTCTGCTCAGACAGTAGCTATCAGCAGCCTTCTGAATGGCCTCAATCATGTAGACAGGGAAACCATCTTCCCTACGTGGGCACGAGCTCTCTGGAATAACACAGATTGGCACGGGGACGGCAAGGCCTTTTTTGCCTTTTTGTTTCTTCCCTTTCTTTTTCTTCCCTCTGGGTTCAAAGGATGTTATAAGACAGCTTTTCTGCAGGTATTTAGAGCCTTTAAAAAACGTTTTGATGTTGATTCCCTCAGGGGGGGATTCCTCATGCATGGCAGCAATTGTTTGAATTTGTTCAACGTCCACAAAGGCACAGTGCTCATGAATAATTGATACAAAATCATCTTGGGCTACCGTCCCATCTCCTTGGTCGACGGCCTCAAACGCCTGGCAGAGGGCAACCTGGTGCTCCAAGGACCAGTCATAGAGCCTCAGTGCCCAGAGGGGGTTGTCCTCCTTGGCCCCAGGCTTGGACAGCTTTTTAAAGGTGTTTTCAACTTTACGCAATTCTGCTGCTGCCGCTTTAAAACCACCTTCCTTGGCAACAGCTCTTGGGGTCTTGTTTAGCAAGTTGGTCCAGGTAGGGTCACAGCCTAAAGATATGGACACAGTTTCACTGATAATGCAGTGAATTCACAATTAGGTACTATATGAGACTTGTAATAGACATGCAACTAATGGTCACAAGTTTACAATTTTATAGTGTCTTAACTACTGTGATAGTAAATGGAACTGCATCATTGATTCCCAGACAAGAAGATGAGCCACATGTCCACATTTGTTTCCCAAAGAAGATTCATTAGGCAACTCATGCTCTACTTCTCTGTCCATTCATGAATATGCATAGAAAGGCAGCAATTCAGTGAAAATGTTACATTTTTACTTAGTGGTTATGAAGAAACAAACCCAGATTAAAATGCCACTCCATGTTCTCCACCCCAACGCTGCAATTTGGCAACGGACCACTAGTTAAATGCTTGAGTCACAAGAACAGAATGTAGAATGTTGTATGGTCCTTTGGGATCACAGGTTGAAATGCTATGACTACCTGATGAAGCTGGAAAATGAGCTGCTTTGGAGTGTATTTCTATGCCCAGGGGTGCCAAGTTTTCTCCATGAATACACTGAGATAATTTTTTTTAAATGGTCAGCAAACTGGAAATTAATTTTCTATTGAAGTTGCAGCACAGTACTTCTAAAACCAACTAAAACCAGAATCACTTAAACACTCCTGTTCTAAATTATATGAATCCATGATGTTTCTGCTATTTTCTTTGAGAAATGTTTTTCCTCATCTTAGCCACTCAAGTACAAATAAGTCATAATAGCCTGCTAGGCACCTCTTAATGAGGATTATATTTGCCACGTGATATGCCAGAGTCAGATCCTTCATAAATGGCACGTGAAATCTTTTCCTTAGCATAGAAAAAAAAATCTACATGACAGTTGCAAAGTAACTTATTTTTAATGTACCTCGTTGTCCTATAAACTTGCAGCATCTTGCAGATCCTCCCTCTGCAGCATAATGAAGTGGTGTATTACCATTCATAGCAATTAGGCCCAAGTCTCCATTATAAGCTGAAATAATCCTCAGAATCTAGAAAAACACAGACAGTACCAGCAAAAAATCTTGTCTGTTTCTTAAGATGGGGTAGTGTGAGAATGATTTACAAATAAATGCAGTATCATGTATTCCCAGTTGATACAGTGAAGATCTCCCCATGCCCATCTGATGGATGCACACCTAACAGTCATGTTTTCTGTAGTACTGTGCTTACTTAACTCAGGACATCAAGGACAATTTTCACTCCTGCCAGCCCACTGCAGGCCACTGTCTTAAAGTCTCTCTGACACTGCATGCACAATCAAAAGTGCAGAATTTTATATACTTCAAAGATGGGGAATATGGAATAAGGTGCCTATCTGCAGCTGCTTGCATCAGCCCTTCTTATCAGGGCAATGCTGCATCCAAGTGACATGGCTGTGACCTGCTACGTGCTGAGAGAAACAAGCTCTCCAGTGGAGCTGCTCGCAGCAGGGAGCCACGCTAGCACACATGCTCAGAGGAGCCTTGGCAAAAAAGGCTCTGCAATTCTGAGGGAGAGTCTATCACTGCTGGATTCCCTTTGATACTTAAAAAAGAAGCTGTTCTTGACTGCTGATTAATTTGCTTTGATCAGCTGAGATACTGGTGTCAAAAAAAAAACCAAAACAAGAACGCCCAACCCACTCCTAAAACCAAACAAACTGCCCACCCCAGGTTTGACTTTGCAGCAATGCTTCCATGCCACAAATGACAATACCTCCAGAAAGCCTCCTTTGGCTGCAAAATGTGCAGCACTGTGTCTTTCCAGGTCAAAGAGGTTCACATCGACCCCTCTCTCGAGCAGAGCACGCACCAGGTCGAGAGCCCCTTCTCTTGCAGCTTCCATCAAGGCTGTGCGGCCCGTGGCCTGCCAGGGAGCAAGGAGACAAGTTAGAATGTGTTTCATGTACTAACTCAGGCTGCAACAGTATGATCTGACTGTTGCAAGGTGGTATAAAACTGAAGGTCTCTTTCTTAGGTGTTATCAAAAAAAAACAAAAGAAAAACTTCTAATAGTTTCAAAGACACTTGTAAATTTTAAGAATCTAGTTGTAATGCTGCTTAAATATGTGTAGTCAAATCCCAGTGACTCAAGTACATCAATAATTTGAGTCCCTTGAACAGTCCTCATGAAAATCAATTCCTCAGTTAAGGAGCTCTTTATTTTGTGTGCACGCTCTTACTCATGTTTACACAATTTAACATAAAACACCACCTCTATAATGAAAGAGCATAGGGAGCTATGGCTGGGGGAGCACGATGGGGAAGGCAAAGCAACCATGGAATTTGACTGATGTTCTGCCTGAGAGGAAAATTTCTGATTTTAGAAGACATTCTAGAATTCATTTTCTAGTACATTAATGCTTAGTCTTTTTCTAGATAGCAGTGTATATTTGTGATTAGCAGTACCTATTTTCTTTTGACTGATGTTCTGCCTGAGAGGAAAATCTCTGATTTTAGAAGAGATTCTAGAATTCACTTTCTAGTACATTAATGCTTAGTCTCTTTATAGATAAGTGTATATTTGTGAATAGCAGTACCTATTTTCTTGACAACAGCTGACTTTGGTAGATCTGGTGACCTTCCCAAGAACAGAGCACAGTTTGGACCAGGGACCACCAGCTATTAACATGCTGGCCCACAGCAACTCTTAGAATATCTGGCTTGCCACTCTACAGAGGGGCAGAGAGAGCAGTGAGCTGTGGCTATTGTTCCACTGAACTATATGCTCTTCCATGATGTCTTTCTCTGGGCCTAGCAAACCAGAGATAAATAAGGATGTCCAAACATTTCCTTTGCTGTATCTACAAGCCAGGAAGGATATTGCAAAACTAGAACCAAAGCAAAAGCCATGGGTAGCTTTAAGGGAAAGCCTGAGCTCTTTGACTTGATCAACAGCACAGGGCTTCAGTCCTTCAGGTCTTTAAATTAAGGAAGTAATCAAATAAATAAGACATATAAAAGAGAAAAGGTTTTTATGCCTTGTCCCTGCCTTAATTCCCCATCAGATTTTTCACACCAGGCTCATCTTTTAGTGAATGTTATTTCAATCCTGAAAAACCTTAGGGCACCTCTAATCAAAGCACAAATCAGCACTGCTCCACTGAAGTACAGTGAAATGGAACTCCCAAGAGCTGGCCCAGCTACATTTTGGTTTTTTAAATATTTGCATTCTAATCTACAAAAATCTGAATCAGGATACGTGGCTCAAGCAAAGAACTTCAATCCCTGCTTTTGCAAAAAAAAAGGTGGTACAGAAGAAGGGAATGGGCACAGCACAGTCAAGCACTTGTCACTGCTTTATTAGTCTAATGTGAGGATTTAAGGGCATACACTCTAATCATTTGATAACTACTCTATACTCCTGTATATATGTTCTTAGTCAGAGAAATATGCATACTGGATTTACTGCATTGGGATTTGCTCCTCTTTCCAAGAAATTCAGACATATTTCTTGAATACCACCAGCTTGCTCACAGGCTTGTAGAAACACAGGCTTCCCCTCAGCAGTGCAGCTGTTAACCTCTGCCCCGTGATCCAGGGCTATCTGTGTGCAGTGGTAGTGCCGCCTTGTAGGCAAGAGGCAGTAAAACAAAACTCCTGCAAAGAAAACCAGCAGGTTATGGTGCAATACTAAATTATCAGCAAGGTTACTCAGGCTACTGTAAGCTTCACAGCTGGATGGACAAACTCCTTCAACAGAGACCCATTAACTTCTCTTAGGGTGCATACGTGCAAAAAGACTTCTAGTTTAGGGCATTTGAACTTGGGGAATATACAAGAATTTAATATGTGACAGGTCATGAGAGGAACATGATTATCAATTGCAAGCTCTCTTTCATCTATGTCCTGGAGACACTTGTGATTTAAAGTCCTGGACTGTTCAGGGAGGATTATTTTCATTTTCAACAAAGCTCTTACAGCCAATAGCTTCTGTCGAGCTGTAAGATCACCCTCAACCACAGCTCCTCCCTCCAGATGGGACACAACACACACAACATAGCCAGTGTGTAGCACCATCATGGGTCATTTTATGGTATTTCTGGTCTGATAAGCTTCCCTCTTATTTACCTTTCCCTTCATTATCCACAACAGTCATGTCTGCTTTAGCTTTTGCTAATAAATCCAACACCAGCTCATGGCCTAGCTCAGCTGCCTTCATTGCTGGAGTACGTCCCAGTTTGTCCTGGACATCTGGATGAGCTCCCTGTGCCAGCAAGAAGCTGCACATGTCAGTGTCATTTTTAATGCAGGCCAAAAGAAGGGCACTACAGCCTTCTATAGGTTCTGTGAAATTAATGAGATTGGGGAATCCATTCTGGACCAGCTTTTCTATTTGCTTCTTGTCTTTCTGGTGAACACATTGAAGAAGTTTGTAGATCTGTAAGTTCAGAAGTCTGTTATCCACTGGTAGCATCCTGGGATAAGGAAAGACAGCTGCTTTCAAGGAAGGAATTTCTGCATGGGGAGAGAAGAAAACATGTTTACTCGGAGATGAGACTACAATTACATGCCAGTAAGAACAGGAATCAAACTATGTTCAAGGCATGAAAATATCCACTTTAACTTAACAGAGCACTAAGCTTTCAATTAATTTATCTCATTTAGAATATACAGCATGTACAGAGATGATATAAACACATGTAGCACTTTGCAAAATTGTTCTTTCTAGTCTTCAAGCTGTTCTCAATAAGTCTTACTCAGGGTGAAAATTAAGTTAAGAAACTGTAAGGTAACTGCTTTCCATTCAAGGCACTGCTATAAACTACAATTACTTAGAAGCCTAAGGGGAGGCTCATCATCTGTCATTTTACTACTTCCCAAGGGAAAAAAAAATAAAAATCACAAGTCACAGTGTCCTCTGCACTTGCTGAAACATAAAATTGATACTGGCATCACCTCAGCAGTACATGAGCACCTTCTTTTTTTAGTAACTGATGCATGAACTTCCTGCTGGGCTATGAACATAAAAGAGTAAATTGCATTTCTCTGCAGTAAAACCCTTGGGGAACAAAAAAAACAAACATGCAGAGAGTGGGGCACTGGCCTGGAAGAAGGTTCCCCAGGTGATACAACAAACATTTCTCAAGAAAAGTGCAGTGCAGAAACTGGCTTTGCATTTGCCTCAGTTTTTTTTTTAATGCTTTTAAGCCTCTGTTAGCTAGTCTCAGCACTGTGGCTGGAAGGCCAAGCAAGGGTCAGACATTATATGGACCATTTCTGAATCTTGCTTAAAGTGGATTCAAAGCTTCCTGTCAGCTTCAGCAACCCTCGGGTCAGCCTGTCCTTCAAAAATGACAGTGGGCTTAAAGGGCATGCAAGGAAAAACTGTGGAGGAACAGCTTCCTGTTAGGGAATACTTGGAGTTTGTGGGGGTTTCTTATTATCAGTATAGCCCATAAATGGGACTGTTCCTCAACCTGCCTGGCTACTGCTGGGTGCTTTGTGGATGTCCAAGAAAAGGTGAGCTTTAAGAGAGAGGTGCAGAAGGATGCACAATTCCAACAGACTTTTTGAGGCTGTGCTTGACAAAAAAGTCAGCTTGAGAGAAAACTGCAGGAAATGTAGAAAAAATTGAAAAAAATTTTTAAAAAAATCATGCTGGGAATGGATAGAGAGCAGTAATTTTTGCACTACAGGTACAACATGCCAGTTGTCATTTCTGTGACTACTGTCTTTGAAGTTCTGTGGCCAGCCTGTTTTGGGAACAACAGAGACAGGGGTGAAGCTTACCACTGACAGATTTCTGAGAACTGTCACTCTTGGTTTTTTTTTTCCCTGCTAAGCAAGCTCTTGGCACTCTCCCTGTGCATCTGGCTGTGCCACCTAGAGATACCTGCAGCCCTGAGTCAGGCTTTGTGTGCAAAACAACCCTGTTGAACCATCTGACACATCCAACTGCAGCTGATCCCTCCTCCCCTGTAAGAGAGTGGAAACAGCAGAAGTCTTTCAGGAGAGGAGTAAGAAAAAGGTAGGAAAGGGTCACACAATGCCTGGAGCCACTTAAAAGCTGCCTTTTCTGTGCAGCATTGCAAAAATATTATAAAATATTCATGTTTTTCTAGAAAAACTCTCTGTTATTGCAACAGCTTTGACCAGCTCTACATCACATTTCAGTTGAATAATTACTAGAAGCTGCTCACTTGCAGAAGTGTTTAAGTGGGCACTAAAATGCAAAGACTTCCCCTGGTCAGAACAGGTCAGCTGCTCCCAGAGTCTGGGGGCTTTCTCCATTTAAATATGATGTTGCTTAAAGACTAGAGGCCTTTCTTGTGCAGGTCTTGCACAACCCTCATTCTGATCCTATACAAAGGATATTCTTACATTGCACAAATAAATCATTAAGTAGCAATAACTTAAATCTGTCACCTGTGTCTTGCTTATTCTCAGCCCTTACCACACTTTGCATATTGTCCTGTAAAAGAGAATAAACACAGAGATTGCTTTTTCCTCCTGACAGGGTTCCAAATAGAGCAGCACTCTAGTCTTAAGGTTTAGAGATGAAAAATAAGGCTACTTCTGGGTAATGCCCTGGTAGATACAAAAACTACCATCCCTTGTGGATTCTTCTAGAGCCTGGAATGTTAGGAAGTAATTTCTGAGTGAATCCTCAATACAGGAAGTTTTTCCTGGCTACTCAGCACAGGCAAAGAAGTGGTGTAAACTCTGCAGGGGCTGTGGTGAGACGCAGCAAGAAGGTCCTGCAGGGAAGGCTCTGACAGCACTTAGACTACTGAAATTCAGGAAAAGAAATGCTTTTAAAGCTACTTAGATGGAGCTGACAAGCTGAAATGTTCTCTCATGCTCTTGTACCATTTGCCACCACCATGCAGCAGTGAGGCACTTGGGCTTACTTGCCAAAACTGGATCCTTTCTTTCTCTTGCATAATTATTTGGGAAGCCACTTAGGATCAAAACTTGCCTTTTCTTCCCTTCTTTCTGCCCCCTGAAGCTGCAAACACTGAAGAAACTACAGTCTCCATGGAAGTAGGTCAATAATGCTACAGAACATGAGCAGCAGTTAGTAAAAATCTGTTAGTGACATCTGATGAAGGCATAAATGGATATAATATTCAACACATATGGATCTGGATTTATTTCATGGATTATCCTTGAGATTCAGAACAGTGCTAGTGCACAAATATTGTCTCTGAAGTACAAGCATCCAGGACAGGCACAGTGAAGTATGTTGTTATCTCAATTCAACCACCAGGGAGATCCTACCAAGTTTAAAGTCTTTGCTTCAAAGCATTAAGAACCAACAATTTACCTGAAAACACCCATAACATTTTAACTGTGACAGTTAATATTTCTTTGCAGTACTTCTTGAAAGTGACTGGATTGAGTTTTATTAAGTTTCTACAGTAACAGGATCAAAGTAAGACAGAAAAATCTACCCAGAGTCAAAGTCACAAGCAAGTGAAACAGGCTTCTAGAAGGAAATATAACCACAGCATCCTGCAAATTTTCATTAAGTAAATATAATCAGCCATACATACTTCACAGAGTTTTTATCACTGAACCTGTGACAGATCTTCTCATGGAAAATGAGGTACCATTAATGTGGCTGTGAGGCAGTCATGCTCTGGGGAGGTCTTCACGAAGCTATAACCATAAATCCCAAGCTTGTAACATCTGCTTAGCAACAATTTTCTGTGTTGACAAACATCAACAGAATCACTACCTGATTCTGCCAGCCTGTGTCATCATTTTCGTTGAGAGCATGAACTCATTTCAAATTCAGATTAATCCTTTTCCTGGAACACCCAGTATTAAGAAAATCATTTTAATCAGATTCCTGTTTCCTCACAAAGCTTTCCAAGTCACAGTCAAGGTACTTTGGATAGAGGAAGAAGGTCTGGTGGCCAGCATTCCCACTTGCTGACTCAAAGCCAGACGGCTGCTGGAAGCACTTGTGACACCTTTTGAAAAGTTTTCAACATGTTTCAGTTTCCACATTTCCAGCTGCAAACTGCCATTTAATTATCACTATTTGCAAAGCAGTAAACAAAATTTTCATGTGTTTTATTTTTCATGAGAGAAAATAGCTCAGCACTTTATGAATTTAATCCACTGGCATGCTGTTCATAGAGATAAGCACAAGCCCTATTTGCTGGAATAAAAGAAACCAGTATGACCACAGTGCCACACTATATTTATAGCTTTATACAAAGAACTGCACGGGATTTGGGGCCGTGACTAATGTATAAAAGGAGTGATGCAGCAAAATCCTCCTAAAACTGAATTCCACTATCATGAGTAGCTTGTAATGCCGGGTTGTCTTCATGCCCTTCTTGGTGTTAACTGTCAAGAAATGATTTGCCTTGGGCTGGGGCACAGCCGAGTGCTGAGCGATGGTCATCTCCTTGGTGCTTCCTGTCTGAATTGAGCAGGTTTCAACCTCATGTTGAGTTCTCTACCCTGATACAGCCCTCTGGGAAAGCTGAGTGCTGTAAAGACAGTCCCAGAGTTATGGCTGGATTCTATCAAAAGATGTGTGTTCTTTTCTCTTCAGTTTGCCTTGCAATTTGTAGTCACTTTGGTGTTCATCCAAAGTGGAATGTTCCAGAGCTCAACTGGCCAGCCAGCACCTTGTCATCAGGTGCATGAGCAACACCTGCTGGGGACAGGGGCCCAGAGGAGGTTGCTCCTCCCCTGGGACCCCTGCAAGCCCTTGGTCTGCTGGGGAGCTGGTGATAAGGTGCTGCTGCACCCAGGAGCAAGGAACAGGGTGTGCAACTGCTCCCCCAGAGCCTCAGGTGCTGAGAAGACAGGTAAGGGCTAAATCTGGTGTTTAGAGTCATCAAATGTTTTTGGCTGGAAGGGATGTTTAAAGGTCATCTCGTGCAACCCTCCTGCAGTGAGCAGGGACATCATCGACTAGATCTGCAATACTTTCAGGGATGGGGCATCTACCACCTCTCTGGGTAACCTGTGCCAGTGTTTCAGCACCCTCACTGGAAAACATTCCTCCCTTACCTGTAGTCTAAATCTCCCCTCTTTTAGTTTAAAACCACCACCCCTTGTCCTGGCCCTGTGTTAGTTGATTTTTCTTGGTTTGTGACCCAGAAGAACGGATGGTCTGTAGAGGAGAAGGGCTTTAAGGGGAGAGAAGCTGCTGCGAAGGGAATGTGTTGAAGAGACAAGTTCACCCCACACCGTACTTACATGGTAAGAACTCGATATCTGACCACGCAGAACGAACACCTGCGGTAACTTCCAGTCCACCTCCCCTGAGAGCGGCTGCCAGGCGTGCGGGGGGGGCTTCCCTCAGAGCCCCGAGCTGGGCAGGGGCAGCCCCGAGGTGCCGCTCCCGC